CAGCGTGTACTGATCTACAATGTATACCTACTCCCATTATAATATTATTGCAGTCACTCGACTTCACTTTCATATATGTCGTTATACATACATATCATATCATACACTTACTTATAAGTTATAACTGTTATAATATGTAAGTTATATTTTAACATATTAGTATTAGAAAATCAATAGCAATATCATTATTCAACTCTTTGATTCGATGATAATAATTGATAAAATATAATGTTACACTACATTTCTGTATTATTGGAGATTTGGTTTTCTCGAGTTTTTAACTATAAATGGTGTAGAGTGTACCTATTAGTATAGACCAAATGAATTATGAAAACATACTTATGCATTTTTTATTAGTTCCACAAGACATTACCAAAAGCGCTTCTCACTTTTGGCTATTGACGTTAATATTGAAGAAAATCTATACCTTACATTTTAAATGAGCATATAAATAATAAACCCGGCACAAATTGTAATAAAATTATAATATTAAATATAAGAAGTGTGTTATGTGACATAATATTTAGTGTGTTAATCCGGACGGTCCAAATAGAGCGCAGTGTTTCGGATAGCGGTATCGTTTTGAAAAGAACCATATTTACTGGAACGAAAGATCTTGTTATACATACACTAAAATGTAAGGTGCAGGTATACGGTGAATGTCGAGTGCTTGTAGTGTAGTGTACGCACTGATAAAAAAAACTAAATAAGTACACTCAAATTAACGTGTACAACTACAGAGGGGACTTGCGCCGCTAACAACATAGTAGTTCAATGATTAAATTATCATTATTTTAAATATCATTCTAAGTGTCATCGTGACATCTGAACAAGGTCGGTCCTCTCATATCGGCAAAAACCCCTCGCGTAAAGCTGTAGCGGGCACACCATTAAAAGAAAAATAATAAATATAATAAAAAAACAATCATTTCTCATTAATTATAATTTTGTCTATATCAACACTCAGCGGATTCAAGCTGAGATTATGACAATTATTTGATTGTGTATTTTGTACACGAGGATACATTGGATAATATAATTATAGTTATGATTTACGATATTATACTTAAAAACAAAACCAACCGCAGCAGCCTAAATCCGTGCCAGTAATTCGATTAATGAAAATATATAATATGTATTACGGATTTAACGACCACGCGTTGATTTTTATACAATTTACTGCAGTTAACATACATTGTATAATATCGCACTGTTAAACGGATAAAATTGAATATGTGTTGTACAGTACAAATTGTGACGACAAAACCGGAAGATACCATAAAAATACTAACTTATTAACCGTTAATAACCTACAAGTGAAAAAAAATATCTATAACATAATCTAAAATAAGTCCTAAGCCGTCCCGCAGGGTGCAATTCTAATGGATTCAGCTTTGAGTTGATTATCATAATTTGTATTTTTATCAGTACTAAGCATGTCATCATTAATTAACGTCATGTTTTTTTGCGTTATTTAAAAAAAACAATTTAATGTCTTATCGTGGGTCACGTGAATGTCCATCAGGTACCTACTTGAGAAATCCTTAAATGTTAGTAGTTTCCAATTTTAATAATACTTTCGTACAGTCTGGCAAATTGATCAGCCCTCTCCCCTCTTGAGAATGTCACGGACTTCTCGAGAAGTGCACCGAGCCGGCATGAAATGAAAACCGGCACGACACATACTCGTAATACAAAATTAGCGAAATTAATCGATTATCTACCCATTCATTTTTTATAATAACAACAATTTTTTTACAATATCGATAAATAAGGCTAATACCTTTTCGAGAACACTCAACACAATATTTTTTAAAGGTACTATCATGATAACTGATGTGATAACTAAAAAATAGCCAATATCAATTGTGACAATACGTTCGAATTTATTTTAAACAGCTTGAATTTCATTTCATAATTTCAAGCTGATATTGTTCTACAATTATTAATATTATTACTATAGTGGTCAGATTAAATCACACATTCCATAGATAACAATAGTCATTATATTTTTAGTATATTTTTTTAATTTCTCAGTAGACAGCTTGGTTTTTATTTAAAATTATAATTATTGATGATACAGTTAAGTTTACACAAATTATACACACTGAGTCACTATGTCATTTGCAATAGTATGTAGTCGTAGTCATCATAGTAATTTTAAATTGACATAACATTTTTAAATGTATCACTGTTTTTAAATATATTTTGTTTTATAATTAAAAATAGAAGTTTTTTTCTGCTGTAACGTATGTGAATCAACAAACCAATTAAACACATTAAATTTAAAAAAAAATTGTTATTTATTTTTTAAATCGTTGTAGTTTACCTTTAAATTTCCATTTAAAAAATATCTATTAGGTAAACAAAACATTTAGTTGGACTTATTAATTTACGAGTCATAAATTATCTACACTAAAAAAACAAGCAGTTCGCGGCTATAAGAAATGTTCAAATACCTTTAAAACAAATAACCGTTCGACCCTTTTGAAAGTATTAATTAACAAACGTAACCCTCCCTAATGGTTTATTTTATAAGTTTCTTTTGCAAGACCATTTTTTTTATAAAATGATTAGCTACGGAGTAGATATAAATGTATTTTAATATACAGATAAATTTTCTTTTTTAAATTTCAAATTCCATAAATAAAACCATCTATCAGTATTATTCTACTACAGTTATTATTATTCACATACTGTTGATGTATACTTGATTAACTAAATTGGAATTCCAATTGATGTTCATATGTCAACGCAATATTGTTGGAGCTTTGCCATAAACATACTAAATATTATAAACTAAATCCCACAGGTATGCATGTTTACGGTAAACATTAAGAATATTAAAGATACGTAAGTACATAGAACGATGAAATTACGTATAAGTACAAAATTATATAACTTATTATTTTTTTGAAATAAATTTTACATTTTCTTTATGAGAAAAAGTTTTAAAATGGTGTAATATACATGAAACACATTAAACGTTAACAACACCCGACCACAGTTTTGGCAAAAATCCATTTTACTAAAATGTTATGTACTATGCAAATTGTAAATCTTTTAATATAAATAACAATATAATACAAAGGCACACTTTTTTTGTTTATAACTAATTTGTTTGTGAACTATTATTTATTTACCTATGTATTAACTTCCTAAAAAAGATAACAAATGGAAATTTTAGCTAATGCACAATTAATGTATAGTAAGTTTTTTTATTTTTAATTCATTAGTTGATTATAGCCTATTAGTTATGATAAACGGTTAAATATGAAAACATTTTGAAATCTGTAATTAGTTTTTTATTAGATGGCTAGTTCAAATTAAATTTCTGAACAAATTTATTGTTTATTACTAACACTTACCTACAGTTAATTGGATGTGAAATGAGAAAAAGAAAGGTTCCTCATTCATCGTACTACCAGCTAAATTTATTCTTCTGCTTTAAACTAATATTACTGTCATTCATTTATAAAACGCATACTACTATTAATTATATTAATATTAATAATTAAATTATAGAGCTATTAATTCAAAAACTCTCCCACACAAAATTAAGAATGGTACAAATGCCACTACACGAGCTATGTTGTAACTTTCAAACACTTGCTTGAAGGTAAACACTAATAAATACCAAACCATATCAGTTATTTTAGTGGTTATGAAGTTAAATAGATATTAATATTTAGATATTAATAGATAGTTTAATATTTAAATTTATGTTAATGTTTTATAAACAATATTTGAAATGGTAAAACAAAATACTTTGCTTATAGCTACATTTCAAAATTATGATATTCCCTCAAATAATTTGTACAATTTGAATATTAACAAACTATTTGTATAAATGAACAAAATATTTGTCAAAAAAAATATGTCCTATAATTATAGTGAATTGTATAACTACTATAATATAACGTTTTCAACTATATTTCGAGTGCTTTTTTTTTTTTTAAGTGGACTTTAAGTGTTATTAATTAGGTATAATTATTGTTATACAGTTATGATGCATTATGTAATTATTTTTTAGGCTTATTCAATGACTAATTTGTACAATAACAATGATAACATTTTAAATTCTAACTCTACATTTGATATTAACTAATATTTGGTTTGTAACAGTATTGCTATTAGCGAGAGAGAATAGGCTGAGATAATTCGGTCATGTTATGAGAATAGATGAGGCAGAGGCAGTGAGAGGTGTTATGAAGATGAATGTAGAGAGAAAAAGAGGAAGAGGAAGACCAAAGAAAAGATGGATGGACGGAATAGAAAGTGATATGAGGATAGCTGGGGTATTTGAGTGAAATGTAGAATACCGAGCTTCATGGAAGTGTAGGACTAGGGTGGCCAACCCCATGTAGTTGGAAGTGTAAGGCAAAGATGAAGAAGAAGGACAACAACAACAATATTGCTAATAGTATTAATTATAAAATTATTATAGTTTATAACCATATGTAGTTTCTTTTCTATTTGTTGTAGTCTCTTTATCTTTTTATTTCTTTACAGAATTTTACTAAGCTAATCCGTTAGCATCATCCATTTTAGATCTTGAAGTGTTGTAGCTATTTTGATAAATAATATTACAATGGTACATTTGAAAGACAGATTTTAAAGTTAGAGACTCACCAATATCTTATAGTAGAATAAAAACAATCGAGGTTAATGAGCTAATGGCTAAAAATATTACTGAATAATTTAGTTGGAATTTAAGTGCTATGGTAGATAGTTAACTAGATTATTTAAATTGTTTGAATCTCTCTAATATAAATAATTATAATACTGGTGATAATAATAGAGTACACAATAATTAATAATTATCAGTCAGTGTATAATATTTACTCCTAACGATTGGAATGTGGCAAGATGACATTCCTATATACTAATCTAATATTTTTATAGGAAGAACAAGAGCATTTAACACCGGGATGGATAATTATTGATATTGTATCAACAGTGACTTAAAACCAGTAGAGTACAACATAAACAATAATTACCTCGGCACACAGTTTGAGGGAGTACGGTCCACTTCCCACGTAGCAAACAGCTTCATCGGAACAGGCCGAGTGCTGGCCATCGGGGCTTTAACGTATTTTTCTGCCATTGTTGCTAACTGAGCTCAAGTGTTTGGACGCACCCCAAAAGCTAATAGCTAGGTATGCCGGCTTCTCTCTTTCTTGAAGAAGACTGCACTTCTTCTTGGTAGAGAATCCAACCACTTTTGGGCTGTGTCGGCGGATGACCGTGTACGCTTTAGGGCATGTCGATCGAATACGATGTGGCAGACCGATGAAAAAAAAAGCCCGAGAAGGGAGCAAAATGCCCAAAGAACACTCGAGTTCAAAAATCAACAAGAAACAAATTACACCGGGCGGACAACGAGCTAATCACGGGTACACATAATAATACCGACTGACAACTGACGTCTGACAGTGTAGTTGCGACGGCGGCGGCGGCTGTAGTGTTATCAACCAAACTGCGGCGGCGGCGGCGACGACCGACGCACGCACACGGACAACGGCGCTAGTGTTGAACGCTTTTTTGTTAATCTTGGGCGGCGTCCACGGTTCGGTAAGCCGGTAGCTGACATTTTCCCGGCAAAGCGAATTATAATAATATTATATTAACATGGTTAATCGTTAATGAATGCATACCACCAGTCGGGTTTTAACCAGTGTACGCTTTTGACAAGATTAAAAGTATTCTATACCTACACACGTACATAATATATGTATATATACATAGTACAAACTTCTACATACCCTTAGGCCTTACGAGACACTATCTTGACTGTTTAGGTATTACACGGCATTTATACATACATTTTTTAACCCTGTATATGTATATAGTAATAAAAACTATATATAGGCGTTATAATAATAATAAAGCCGACCGGGAGGGGGAGTAGAACACCTACGGCCCCTGGATCCGTGTATTCTGGGGCTGGTATGTTTAAATCTAACATAAAACATTTTATTTTAATTGATTTTTAACATAAAAAAAACAAAATGTTAAATATCTTCTATGTATTTTGAATTTTTTAAACAATTTTAGATATCCATTCCATTGAAAATAATGTAGTATATACTTAACATAGTATACTAGATATCGTACAGGCAGAGACGTATTTAGGAATTTTGCGCCCCAGGAGAGAAAAAAAACGCCCCCTTCCCAACCTAAATTTCTTCAGCAATAGGTGTATTTGTAAAAAAAAAACATGATAGTGAAACCAATGCATATATTAGGTATACATAAAAAAATACATTTATTGAAGCACTTATCGACTGCACCAACGAAAAGGGTCGTATCTCTTTTTTTGCAACTTTTAAGGATGAACCAAACAAACATTCAAATTTAAATTCTTATTCTGTTTTTTAACATATCAGTTAGAAAATTTGGATACATGCTATAAGAAACTGTACTACATATATAAAAATACTCTCCAAAATTTACCGCCCCTAAAATTTTGCCGTTTGGGGCCCAAGCCTCCTCTGCCCCTTTTTTTTACATATAATTATTTCAACTATGTTGATTACTGTGGTCGTTGTTCCCCTTCAATTCTTATTACTATATAGTTAGCAATCTAGTTCATTATATAATATATTATATATCTATGGATATAAAACAAAAGATAAGTGATAACATAATATCCATGATTCACTGATTTTCCGCGGAGCGTGTAAATAACAGATAACTAGGTTTTTTTTTAAAACTAGTAGGTACTCAATGGTAGCTTCCAATTAATTGCGTTCATACGTCGTACTCCAGAGTTAGACATTATTTAGATCATTTTTTTATTCGTATAATATTTTTCTGTGAGTAATGATTTTTCAAATAAAAAAAAAACGTTGATTTATTCCGAGTTTTTTTTTAATTTTATTTTTTTAAGCTAGTTTTTTTATTGTTGACTTAATTAAAAAAAAGAAACTTTATATGATTATTCTTACGAAAAATGTTTAAATAAAACAATTATTTGGATAAAATAGTTGTTATTCGAAGTAGTTATTCGTATAAATCTTCTTAGATTTTCTCGAAAAAATATCATACGAATAAAAAACTTCGTTGGATACAAATATCGGTTGATTTAGTATTAATAACTAAACGGTATTTATTCATATTTAAATATTGATCAGCCATTATTTTCATTACATCGAAAGGTAAATGTTTGAGTTGCTAGTGAGTGGATATCTATATTTAAAAACACAGGGGTTAATGTGGATTTTTAAATGTGGTTGTCTTGAAACCTACACAATGAGGAGGTCTTATGTTTCTTATTTTAAATGTTATAAAGCGAAGTATTTTGTATAATGATAACAAGATATCACATCTTTCTCTATGGCGTAAAATAAGATTAGTATAAAATTCAATATTTAAAACTATACGTTGAAAATATTTTTTTAAAGGATAACTTTTATAAATCATTTATTGCACCCCACATATTTGATATATACCTATTAAAAGTAGAATATTATAATATATAATATAATATCTAGTCGATAACTTGTTATCAATAAATACTTAACGTGTTGTTAACGTTAAAAGCACAGACAAATTGTAAAATAATTTGTATTCGTTTGCTTAATTAGTAGTTAAACAAGAGTTTCATGTCCACTGTGAATTACCATATGAGTCTTATTTATTATTATAATATTTCATACTATTATTTTACATCCACTATAAAATTATCATTAACCATAATTATTTATAAATTATAATATTACAATACAATTTGTATGTTATATTGACAACAAAATGTATTTAATATAAGTTATAACATTTCCTATTTTAGTTATACTCTTCAGTATTCAGTGTGATCTTTTAAATGTAGTTGAAAAAATTGGTATACTAAAAGGAAAAAAAAGATATTCCAAGGGGGAAATAGGGAAACATATTTAATTAATTTTATATCTTCTTTATTTAAATTTGAATGTGTATATAGGTAATATAATATAAAACAATCTTTTTTACTTATTTTAATCTAATACCGATAATAAGTTAAAAAAACATTTTTATATAAATTTGAGAGAACTAAATTTTGAGTTGTGGAGTCTCCGATATTACGTGTTTTAAAAGGTAGAAAAAGTTCACCATTCACCATTAAATTCGAAAAAAATTTAAAAAAACGCGAATTTTAATTTTTAACTAATTTGCTATAATTTTGAGAAAAGTGGTCGGATTTAGTTGAAATTTATAAGGAATATTTATTTGGTGTACTCCCTCCCCCCACTCCCCTGTCTTTCCAAAGATACCAACTAGATACAATTTCCTAAAGGTTGACGTGAACAGTCAACAGACATTATAAATACATTTTTGAAAACCTATTATAACTTCAAATAAAAAAAAAATATTCGAATGGCGTATTTGACCGGGAGGGCTATAGCTAACTTTATGCCAGTTTGGTCGCCGGAGGGTACATGGCATTTCTGCCATGCATATCGGGGGTTGATGGTGTGGGTCGCCGCTAAAAATCCGGGTGGTCACCCATCCGTGTTCAAGCAGCAACGGCCACAGCTTAACCTCGAGTGCCATGCGGCAGCTGAGGTGTCCACTGCGCATAACTTCAAATAAGTATCGTAGATTAAATATAAGTCAAGAGCTGAAGTTAATTAATAATTTCATGAAGTAATAATAAATAAATACACTGAAGTAAAAAAAGTTACAGTCTACTTAAAACCAAACGGCTAAAATTATAAAACAAGGAACATGCTTTAGCCTGCTGGCACCTGAATAGTGATTATTTCTGAATCTGTAATGGAAACCGCTACGCCCATTTCAGTCGTGCAGCATAATATGAGTAGAGGTGCTGAGGCAAGAGGCACAGGGACCGATCACATCAAAATGATCCGGTGCATTCAAACCAATCTTAACAGAAGTATAGCTGCTCAAGCCCGTGGCCACGCCGTCATTAATTAGGATGTGGACGCGGCCATGCTGCTCAATGATATTCCGACTACGATAGCTAGGCAAAACCCAGAGCTGAGCATGGGCGAGAGCGAGGCCAAGAACAAGATAAGGCCGATATTCAAGAAAGGAAAGAGGGACCGTGGTCCACTGGGTATGTGAGATAGACTATTTTGTGTCATTTTTGAGCGGAGGCCCAGGCTAAAGCATGTTCCATGCTAAAAAATTGTTCAATCTTCATCGGCCGTCAAATTTAAAATGAATAGCATATAATTAGTTGATAGGTTTAAAAACTAATAGAAATAAAATATACAGAAAGTAATACTGGAAAAAACTTTTTTTTTCAAATATCAAAAGGGTTTTTTTATTTTTAAAAGGTATTTGGGATTATAATATATTACTTAAGCTCAGAACTTTTTGCATTTGCATGTTTATTTAGAGTAAGATAAAATACATATGTCGTGGTACAAATAATATTCGTTGACATAAAGTTTAAAATTACATTTTTATAACGCATATTTTTGCATAAGTAATTTGATTATTTTATTGCGTATATTATACAAATGTTATTGTATTTAATGCATTTTCTCTTCTGATATTATTATTTCACACTTTTTACTCATAGAAACATTTTGTTTGAAAAAAATAATTATACATAACTTTTGTCATTATTATTGCATTCTATTGTTTAATAACCTTGTAAAATACCTAGCAAAAAATTGCTTGATTATTCCTGTTTAGTACTTTGAGCTAATTAGGAATTATTGGTAAAAATAACGCAGTTTTATTGATATTTAAAATAATTAGCTAACAAATAAATAATAAGAAGATTATTATAGAATAGACTTTTCATATAAGGGGGAGTCTAGGAGTTGCATCAACTGTGGAGAAAATGAGAGATAATAAATTGAGATGGTTCGGTCATGGTATGAGAAGAGATGTGGCAGAGGCAGTGAGAGATGATATGAAGATGAATGTAGAGGGAAAAAGATGAAGAAGAAGACCAAAGAAAAAATTAATGGACGGAATAAAGAGTGATATGAGGATAGCTGGGGTGATTGAACAAGATGTAGAAGACCGAGCTCTATGGAGGTGTAGGACTAGGGTGGCCAACCCTATGTAGTTTAGAGGAGAAGGCAAAGATAAAGAAGGAGAAGAATTTTCATATTTTTATGTTTAATAATACGTTGTTATGTTTGTTTAAAATCATGATATCGGTGAAAATATTAAAATTGTATTATTTTTTTTTACATTCTAAAAAAATGATATGTTGTTTAACTAATGAAGTATTATAATATAGTATTTTTAAAACTATGTGATACGTATTCTCGTCGATAAATTCCGTTAAAAATTAGGACACTCGTGTTATTAAGGCCCCTGGATATCGACCATTTTTAAGGAGTTTTGTATAGGCAATATTTAAGAAAAAAGGGGTTTTTAATAAAATTCGAAAATGTCAATTATTTACCGATTAGTTTGTATAAGCTTCGTGGTATTATTTTTAATTTAAATCATTTTGTCTATAAGCAAAAGCCATTTTAGTTCATATAAT